AGTTTTCTGTACATCTAGTACTTGTAAAATTTATAATACCTTCATAGGATAGAATTAGTACAATTGGGATTGATACTGCTTGTAGTTTCTTCCAGATTCTTCTTTTGTTTCCTTATAAAATTTAAATAATTGTCTGCCACTTTTATTGTAGAGACTTGGAAACAGTCTTTTAATGCTGTGGAGAGATTTTTGCTTCTTTCCAAAATGGAAAGGTCACCAGAAGAACATTTAAATAAAAAATAATGAAAAAAAAAAAGAAAAGCTTGTCGCTTTTGTATGACATCAGGTGGGGCAGCAACTTGTCTTTATCCACTTGACAAACATGCACTCCTCAAACAAGATAAATGTTAAACTAACTCTTTAGATAAAGATAACTGGCACAGTTCTTGTTTGTATTCAAGTGGATGATAATCGACATTATTATACAATACTAGAAACTGGAAACAACGCAAAAAAATCTAAATCAACCTGCAATCATTTGGTTATTTTAGTAACTTTGATATATTATTTCTATGCATCTGTCTATATTTCTGAGATGAGCTATTATGTACACTATTTACATTATTTGGACTATTGTCCTCGTCTTTGTTGCTATATTTATTACAATGTTTTGGCCTTTCAGTATCTGTCTATATTTCTGAGATGAGGTATTATGTACATTATTTACATTATTTGGACTATTGTCCTCATCTTTGTTGCCATATTTATTAGAACGTTTCGGCTGTTGTACAATCCAGCCTTCTTCAGGTGGTTGGAATGTCGAACTGTGCCCTTTATTTTGCTCACTGGGGTAAACTGTCCTAGTTCCACATGCCATGTTTAATGGATGTCATGTATCAGTTAACTCCTGTTAATTCCTCTCAGCAAGGACACATGGCACAGTGGATAAAGGCGTTGGTTAGTGGAGAAAAAAATTCAAGTTCTCCACTGTTAAGGCATTGGAGAACTTGAAGAGGGAATTAAGCAGGAGATAACTGACATCCATTAAACATGGCACGTGGAACTAGAACAGTCTACCCCAGTGAGTGAAATAAAGAGTTTAGTTCAACATTCCAACCACCTGATAAAGGTCGGAGCTTACAATGGCTGAAACGTTGTAATAAACATGGCGACAAAGATGAGGACAACAGTCCAAATAATATTATTTCTATGCATAGTTCATTACTTATGTAAAGCCAATTGTGAACAAGCCATGAAATGAATATATACCTAAGAATATAATAGAATAGACTTTTATTTTTGACAGCATGGGTAAACTCATCTTAATATAATAATAGTGGGCCTAAAGTGGGGATTCAATTTTCTATTGCTATTTACTAATAAACTAACCCCCCCCCCAATTACTATATATTAATTATGGTGGTTGCAATAGAATTCATTACCAAGTATTGGAGTGTTCATCAACATTTCCTGTGTTAATACTAGTTGTCCTAAAGTGGGGGTTCAGTTTTCTATTGCTATTTACTAATAAACTGACCTCCCCAGAATTACTATATATTAATTCCGGCAGTTGCAGTAGAACTCATTACCAAGTATTGGGGTGTTCATCGACATTTCCTGTGTGAAATGTTGGATCTAAATCTGCAACCACTGCATTGGAGGGTTTAGGGGATGGAGAGCTCTGGCTTTTCTTTAGGCTTTCTTCGTCTCTTCTATTTGTCATCTGGTGTTTTTGAAGGATGTTGTTTTCTTGTAGACTGCCCTTCTCCAATTGGTTCTTTCTACAGCTTCCGTCTCCCAACTGACCAGATGGATTTCTATCCTCAGCTGATCCTTGAATGACCTGGAGCTCCACATGGTCTCTTGACAAATGCAGCACCAAGAAGAATATTTGTTTGTGTAGGCTGATGTCTGTCACTTGGGCAAAGTGTCTGACCCATCAAAGTCGGTGATGAATCATAATGATTTCTCAGCTCTCCATTTTTGCACGGAGAAGAACTTTGTTGTGATTCGGTCCTGCCATGTGTTCTACAGGATTTGACAGTTTCATTTGATGGAATCTTTCAAGTTTGTAGATATCTCTTTGGTAGAGCCTCAGGCCTCATAACCATGCAGGAGAGTCATTATTACAACAGCTTGGTAAACCATGAGCTTGGTAATTTGTTTTAGCCCAAGATTGACAAAGACTCTTTTGAATAGCTTGCTGTATACTGTGTGGGCAATCTTGATTAATAAACGAAAAAATACATTTTTTTTTTTTTCAAGCATTTCACACCAAGCAAGGTAGGAATGCCACTAGCACGCAAGGGGTTACAGAGAGTGGGAGCAAGTGTAAAGAGGTGTGATAGTGGAAAGGATGAAGAGAAGGACGGGGAATTAGATCAAGACATCTAAAGATGTCGATTGACATTACATTTGAATAATTGAAGATTATAGTTATCAGGGAAGCAAGTAAGAGGAAGGGAGTTCCTAGACATGAAGTGTTGGAGAGAAAACCCGGCTACATTTAGCAGTTTTGACAGTGAAAGGTTGGGACTGAGATGCCAACCAAGTAGCACGCTTAAATTCATGCAGTTTGGGAACCAGAGAGAGTATCTCTTCAGAGCAGTTACCATGAAAGTATTTGTAGAAAAGACAAAGGGAAGCGATGGCATTTCTGTGAGAAAGTGACTTTAGATGAGATCTCAGATCAGGACCAATCACACTGTATATCCGTCTCTGGATTTTTTTGTTGACCTTGAGACGAACAGCAAGTGCACCAAACCATATATGGCAGTAGTAAGGACTTCATAAAATATACTGTAAATTTTGATGGCATAGAGAGTGTTTTTCTGGTCATAAATTGGGGGATCTATTTTCTATTCTTATTAAGTTATAAACTGATCTGCTCAAAAAATTACTATAATAAATGGATAATATATAATTTAAGACTAAGATATAAAAACCTGATAGTAAGGACTTCATAAAATATAGGCAATTTTGATGGCATGGGTAGTGTTTTTTTCTGGTCATAAAAAGGGGAGTCTATTTTCTATTGTTATTAACTTATAAACTGATCCCCCCTAAAATTGCTATATTTTAATATAACAAATGGATACTATATATTTAAAGACTCACCTGTGAAAACTTTCTAATATTAAGCACTTCACAAAATATGTTGTCAATTTTGATGTCAATGGTAAAGTAATATTTCACTGGTCATAAAGTGGGGGATTGAATATCTATTATTATTAAGTAATCAATTGATCCCCTAGAATTACATCATATTTGTATAATAAATGAACAGTATGTATTTAAAGACTATAATAGTAAGGATTTAAGAAAATATGCCATTAGTATTTTTATATGGCATGTCATTTATTACTTAATAGCAACAGAAAATTGATCCCCCAATTTATGCCCGCTAGAATCATATACTAGTTTACCCATCCTATAAAAAATGATGGCTAATTTTATTAAGTCCTTCCTCTTAGAAGGTTTTCATCTGTGTCTTTAAATATAAAAATTAAGTCCTTATTATGTAAAGGTTTTTAAACATGACTCTTTAAATATATTTTTTGTCACACAAAGTCGGTTTTTCACCACCCAGCTTTGTTGATTGTTTTATTTTCTAAGGCTTATCAACGTCTTGTAGGTTAATTAAGGTGAGAAAATATTTTTATATTGTAAGAATTTTCTCTTTTTTTGGAAATAATTTATTGATACAAATCTTCCTAATTAACTCATAGCAGGAGGAAAGAGATGGATTCATCCCTTTTCCCAAGTGAATATAAAAAACCCAACAGGAATTGGAACTTGGCTCTCTGATTAACAATTCCAAGACATTATCCATTACACCACCCATTCGAGCTGCTGCTTTACACAAACCACTGTTTTATAGGACTGACTCCCAAGAGGAGACCTTCCCAATCACTACAATCTTAACCTGTTCAAGTCTAGGCTTAACTGTTATTGTCTCCAGGTATCTGCATAAACTGTGCCTAGTACTCTATAACCCTCTATCTTGAGTGACCTTGTACAGTGTGAACATCACTGTAAAAAAAAAATTCATAATAAAAAAATCTCCAAGTTCACAGCACCTGGTATTCCCAAGCTGTCACCCATATAGGTTTTGGCCAGGCTTGACATTGCTTAACTGTGGAGATCGTGTGGGAACCAGTGTTTCAATGTGAAGTGGCCATAAGCCACCCAGCTTTGTAATCATCTTGTGTCAGTCTGACATCATCATATCAAAACCCGACCATTTTGTGCCACCAGTGTAAGGGAGATAACTCTATTGAAGGAAAAAAATTTACAGACATTACAGGCAAAAAGTAGGCAAATCCACATGGCTTTTCTTATATATACATTCTAAATTACTAAGTAAAAAAAGCAAAAAAAATAAAACCTTGCTGTCAAACAACTCTGGTATTTCAAGAATTTCACTTAAAGAAATTCTGTCATTAATTACAGTGCCATGTAAGTGTTTTTGCTTTCAATTTCCAACATCGTCAGCCATTAAATATTAGGAAGGAAAGAAGTGGATTCAGATCTTCCTGGAAGCAGATTTCTTGCTCGGCCACATATTTTTGCTTGCTCATTTTAAAGTTTCCTTGTATTTTTATGCAATTATTTTAGATTTTGTTGGTAATTCCCAAAATGCTTTTCCATAGCTCAGCAAAACTGATAGTGGCCAAAATTATGTGCTAGTGTTCTATTGTGCTTTTTGCAATTTGAGAAGAATATGAGTGACTCTTTTGACCTTATGTGTCATCTCTAAATTAGCTGAAGACAATACATATATATATATTCAAGGAGGATTGATATAAACTACTTCTGCAAGTTTATAAACAATCTTAATTGACTGGGTAATTATTATTATTCATTACACAGGAACATATTGATTAATTTTATCAAATTCATCAAGAACAAAAATTCATTTAGTGCTGAAATTGGTACGGAAATCAAATCAGGAAAAAGATACATTTCTTCTTTTTCTTCACAAATTTTGAATGACTTTTTCTGGTTCTCTGACATTTTTCTTTCTTGTTTCATTCTTTTTTTCTCTTCTTTATCTAAAGTAGCAGTAACAATTTGGGTCTCTCCATTCTCTTTAATTCAATATTTTCTTTGATTCTTTTTCAATGTTTCTTCCTTTCTTGTTCAATATTTATTCTTTCTTTCATCAATATTTATTTTTTTCTTATTCAGTATTTCTTTTTTCTTTCATCAATATTTCTTTCTTTTTCAATATTTTTTTCTTTCTTTCAACAATATTTATTTTTTCTTTTTCTATATTGCTTTCTTCATTTTCAATATTTTTTCTTTCATCAGTTAGATTATATGCCTGAAACATCAAAAAAATACAAATATCTTTGAATTTAAAATCCCCAGCACCTCTCATTGACGTATGCATAAACTCAACTTGGTATCTATGCTGATGACAACTATTTTTTCTTCTCTTATTGGCGACTCTGATAAGTCCAATACAGTCAAATTGGAAGCTGATCACAAAAATGATCTCCAATTTGTTGTTAACTGAGGCAAGAAATGATTTGTTAATTTTAACACCTCCAAAATAAAACTGCTCCCTTTTAATTGTCTTAGAGAAACTTTTTTGCCTTCCATCAGTATGGCTGATGCTAACCTTCAAATGACTCATTGCATGTTCTCAAGCTAATGTTTTCCATTGACATGAAGTAAAAAGATTAAAAAAAAAAAAAGGTGACTGCCCTTACCTCTGCATCAACACTTCTGCATCAAGTCTGTTTTGGTTGACCCACTTTTCACTTCCATTGTGGATTCCAGTCAAGGGTTTGCTTGGTGACACTAGAAGCAGGCTTGTGGAGTGTGCGGCTGATCCATTTCCATAAGTCTAATTGGTTTAACAAATTAACAGCTGATCTCCAAAATAACCTACAATCTGTTGTTAACTGAGGCAAGAAATGGCTTGTTAATTTTAGTGCCTCCAAAACAAAACTGCTCCCTTTTAAACATCTTAGAGAACCCATGGCTGATGCTAACATCCTTACACCTTCTTAGGTTAACATTTTCCACTGATATGAAATGGAAACATCATATTGAATCAATTGTTAGGTTCACTGCTAGGAACGTTAGTTCATGTCATGCTAGACAATTTTTCTCACTAGTATTTATCTTAGACATTTGTAAGTCTACCATTCATCTATGCATTGAATATTGCTGCTACATCTGGTCTGGTGCTTCTGCTATATATTTAGAGATTCTTGATAAAATCCAAAGAAGAATCTATCTTATATATTTATAAGTCTACCATTCATCCATGCTTAAAATATTGCTGTCACATCTGGTCTGGTGCTTCTGCTATATATTTAGAGATTCTTGATAAAATCTAAAGAAGAATCTATCTTCCACATTTATAAGTCTACCATTCATTCATGCATTGAATATTGCTGCCATATCTGATCTGGTGCTTCTACTATATATTTAGAGATTCTTCATAAAATCCAAAGAAGAATCTATCTTCCACATTTATAAGTCTACCATTCATTCATGCATTGAATATTCCTGAAAAGGAATCAAGAAGACAATAAATAATGATTGACATTGCATTTAAATTTTTGAAGATTAAATTTGACTGTAAAGCAACAAGCTGGAAAAAAGTTTTACAAAGGAAAAGTGAGACAGAAGAAACTGTTAGCATGGAACTTACAATTGCATCTTGTCATCTCATCTTTAAAAAAAACTAACTGCAGTTAAATTCATAAAATCAATGTACCATAAAGAACAGTTCACTTGAACAATTCCCATGAAAGTATTTATTAAAAAGGTACATGGAAGCTATGTTATGGCAAAGAGAAAGTGACTGATATAATTGCAAATTCTTCTTGGGATTCTATCAAGAATCTCTAAATTTGTAACAGAAACACCAGACCAGATGTAGCAGAAATATTCAATGCAAGGGCAAATGGAAGACATATAAAAGTTGTAATGGTTACAGCGGAGTATTCTCAAGCAGGTGATAGAAATGATACTACAAGCATTATTGTAAATTATCTCGTGCAACATCCTGAACCAACTTTCTTAGCAACAGACCAAGTAATTGATTCAATATAATCTTTCCACTTCAGTAAACGTTAACCTGAAAAGGTGTAAGGATTAACTCTCGTGAGGGTTTGCATCATCCATGTTGATGGAAGACAAAAAAGATTCATGAAGATGATTAAAAAAAGAGAACAGTTAATATGCAGACATTTTTTTTAAATATTTAAAAGTTATTCTAAACAGTAGAAAAAGAATTGTTCACGAAAATTAATAGCACGAGTAATTTTTAATCATCATTTTTATGTCTTGTTTACTTTTGCCGTAAGTTGTGTATTGTTTGGTTTTCTTTTTCTTTCATTCATTTTCAATTGGATTCAAGTTGGAACTTTTTGAAGGCAAAGATAAAATTCTTATATTCTCATCCTGATAATATTTATGAACTAATTTACAAGGGTAGAGGCAGCTTATTTTCCTTGAAAAACAGACAGAAAAACGGAATGGCCTACTTGAAACAGAAATAAATCTCAATTTTTTTTTTAACAGGTTTGCCAACTGCCATTTTAATTTACTACTACGTTCACCTTTCTTAACTCACTCGTCCAACATCAAAGGATAAAGTCTAATGTTTTAATACATCCCTCTTACCTACTGCCTCCCTACAGTTTACAGTATTTAGAAACCACAATTTATAAAGTTTGCTTGATTTTTAATTAAAAAAAATGGTGGTGGTAAGGGGAAGAAAAATTTTGACTTTTGTTTTATCCTTTCTTTTTCGCATAGGGATGAAAGTGGAGCCAGTTTGTCATTTCAGAAGGCCAAATTTTACAAATTAAACTTTTTTTTAATTTTATTTAATAATTTTAAACAAAGTGACCAAACAATAACATAGCTTTTTGTCTCTACATGACTTTGTAGTGCTACTTTTCTGTAGGTTTTGCCACATTTTCTTATTTTAATAACATTTATATACTGTTACACTTTCTCACTAAATAATGTAGCAAAAACAGAAATCTATATTGAAAACAATGAAAATAATGAAATTCTACACTGAAAATGAAAAAAAAAACAATTTCTTAAAACCTGAAAGAAAATTTGAAACAGAAAATTGGTCCCTCTTTATATATATATATTTTTTTTTATTAATCAGATTCACCTCATACAAGAGAGTAAATCCACTAAGACACAAGGGGTTACAGGGTGTGGAAGAATTATAAACAGTAACATTAATGATAAGCAGAAAGAGAAGAGAGTAATCAAGGGGACAGTAGATAGCAATTGACATTCCATTTAAACTTTTGCAGATTAAAGTTGGCTGGAAAGCATGGAACCGGAAGAGAGTTCCACAAATGAAGTGTGAAAAAAGAAACGGTTACCATAGAATTTACAGCTACATCTATCCAGCTCAACTGTCAATTGATGAGATCTCAACACCAGTCAAGTACTGTGTTTATTTAGGATTGTAGCATTTTTTGCAAGTGGTGTCCTAGAAATTCATCAAGTTAGATTAAACTGGAGCAACTTATCCAATGGGTGAATATTCCAGCTAGTAAAATTTTCTCATTTTCCTTTCATTTTCTTATTTTAATAACATTTGTATATTGTTACTCTTTTTCACCAAGTAATGAAGCAAAAACAGAAATCTATACTGAAAACGGGGGAAAAACAGAATTCTGTGAAACCTGAAATGGAATTATGGAAAATTTGAAATGGAAAATTGGTTCCTCTACAAGTGTATTTCTTGATTCTTTTATCAGGCAAACAATATGGTTTTCACTTCTCCAAAACGAAACTGTCCTCTTTTAAAAATCATCTCAGAGAACCTTTTTCACCTTCCATCAGCTTGGAAGTGTCTAAGTAGCCATCCATGTGAGGCTTACTTTTACAATAAGCTGAGGCGCCCACTTTTATTCAAATAGCCTTTCTGTGCTATGCAAGATAAAATTGCAGATTTCTCATGTAAACGCATGCCTTGGATATGGCATTTAAATATCATGTAAATCTGTAATACTTCTGGATGCATTTTCGGTGAACACTGCAAGATATTTTCTTGTCAAATAAACGTCAGTTTACAATATATCTCTAGTTAGAAAATATCTTATCAAACGTATCTTTCAACATAGCTACTACAATTCTAAAAAACCAAACACAGGGGCCACAAGATTTTTTGACAGTAGAATATCTCTATATAAGCTGTAATATTCAGATACACAGACAGATAAATAATACTATAATCAATCCATTAATGTCCAAAATCCAATTTGGGGGATATTGAGCTTTAATTGGTTAAAACAGAAGTAGTGTATATTGATTGATTTGTTTTTTATGACTTATCAACTTTTTGCAGGTTATATAAAACCAGAAAATATTTTTATATTATAAGAATTTTTTTGTAGATGCTAATGGTTTACTGATGCAAGTCCTACTAATTAACCCTTATCTATGGGGAAAAGAGGTGGATTCATACCTTTCCCACAGGTATTTGCACATCAGTGATTATAACAAACCCAACTGAAATTGGAACATGGCTCTCAAATTTCCACTTCTGTGCCATTATCCATGACACCACCCACACAATCAAGCTTACAGCACCTGATATTCCCAAGTCGTCACTCATCTAGATACTGACCAGGCTAAACATTGCTTAAGTACAGTGATTCTTTGAGAACCAACATATGTCTGCCAGCCCAGAGGTGGTGTATAAGTAGACATCTGCATGCCACTGATAAAAAGGACCTTTACAATTGGCTCAGGTGCCCACTTCTGTGCAAGTAGCCTCTCTACCCAGTGTAAAGATAAAAACTACAGATTTCCCATGTGAATATTTATGTGGATTATCCTATCCTGTCTTATCTACCAAAGAACTTCTCTTAATGCCTGCTAGGTGGTGCTGTATAAAAAGAAAGGACATGAAATCTCTTTCTCTCTTTTTGCTCTCCTCAACCACAAGATAGTGTAGTGACAAGACACTCAGTTTCCCCAGCAAGGAGACGACTTTTCCTGGGCAAACCGATTTTTTATTCAACCAACCACATGGTGCATCATACACACACATACTCACATTCTACAGCTAATCATATAAATATATTCTCTCTTTTTACCTATATTTTTCTGTATATAAATATATGAAAATTTGACACATATAGGATTCATTTATTTTGAAGGTTTTCAACCACTGCTCTAACTATTGGTAACACCTCTCTGCTTCATACCTGGCATCTTGGCTTCAATCATGTTCCTGCGATCATCATGTAGCTTCCCTATAAATACTTTCATGGTAATTGTTTGGATGAACTCTTCACTATAGTAACTAGATTTTATGAATTTAAGCACAGTACCAGATTGATGACAAGGTCTCA